TCTATCATGTTTGATATATTTTTCTTTGATTTTCTTAGTTATAAAAAAACTACACTTATGATTACATAAGTGTATTTTTATGATTTTGTTTATTATTTTTCATCTTGAACCATCTTCTGTCTAACTTTATGTCTTTTATGATTACAAATGCATATAATATGATTAAAAATAAATATGTGGTATAACATAATCATTTATGATTACAAAAACATAAATAATAACGTAATATATGTTATCTGTTGTTAAATATATGTAATTATTTATGATTACAAAAAAAAATTATGAAATATCTAATATATGTTGTTCAACATATGTAATCGCTAATGATTACATATAAACAGCTGATAAGGGGTACAAGAAACGTAATTATCTTCTATCTAACTTTATTTTTTTTATGATCACAAATGCATATAAATCACTTATGATTAAAAGAACATATGATTAAAAATAAACAAGTGGTATAACGTAATCATTTATGATTACAAAAACATCAATAATTATGTAATATATGTTATCTGTTGTTAAATATATGTAATCATTTATGATTATAAAAATAAAAATAATCATGAAATATCTAATATATGTTGTTCAACATATGTAATCACTAATGATTACATATAAACAACGTATAAGGGGTACTAGAATTGTAATTATCTTCTATCTAACTTTATGTCTTTTCTGATTACAAATGCATATAATCACTTATGATTAAATAAGTCGTATATCATAATCACTTATGATTACAAAAACATAAATAATTATGTAATATATGTTATTTGTTGTTCAATATATGTAATCATTTATGATTACAAAAACAAAAATAATCCTGAAATATCTTATATATGTTGTTCAACATATCTAATCACTAATGATTACATATAAACAACAGATAAGGCATGCTAGAAATGTAATTACATATAAAAATATAACATATTCACTTATGATTAATATTCCATAATATAATTCATAGAAACAAACTTACATAATAAAATCCATTAAAATAAAAACAAACATTGTTCAGAATATCCATACCACATATACAAAATATAGGAACACAAAACAAACTTGTTCTTAAAACAACGTCAACATGCAAAAAAACATCTAATTACCCATCATCCATTAACTTGCAACATCATAAAACCTTCAATTAAAGAAAACTTCACAGCCTCCTTTCTATATTCCATTGAGCATTATATGAATGCTTACCATAAGTCTTTCCATCAACATTCTGATAATCATAAGCAGCTTTCAACACATCATCACGATTGGAATTAATCTAAGAAGTTAAAATTGTTGTTGCATATTTCATTCACAACTTCTCCATAATTTTTTTATTGTACATGACTTTCTTTTGGAAGTCCACATTTCTATTTTGAACCCTATTCTCCAATATAACTTTCCATATGCCTCATAGCAAAAACACCACAATCCACTTTGTTGTGAACTGTCCTCAATGACATTAATAATCTTATAGGTTTAAGATTTCTATCAACCATTACATTTTCTTTAACATGCTTGATCTCTTTTAGATACTTCAAAAAAACTTTTTCTTAAAATCATATATAATTTGAATTCGGAAATAAGAGTATAATAATTATAAAATATTTAATTGACACTTATAAGAGATTTAATAACTACTTCATACTTATCATCAAAAACAACATCATCAGCATCATCGTCAATAACGTCAAAAGCAGGATTCTTCAGATTGAGAACAATAACATATATATGCTTTTCCCTAACAACAGGGAAAAGTACCTAAAATTCATATGTATAATATTAGAAAGAAACATTAGTGTGTGTGTGTGTGTGTATATATATATATATATATATATATATATATATATATATATATATATATATATATATATATATATATATGATGGGATGTCAAGTCCACCAATAAAATTACACCCTTTGTTTGCAAGTAAAACGTAAGACAATGGTAAAAAGGGGTATCGATCCTTGGGGAAATGGTTGTATTCAGTCACCAATGCAATCCAATAGAACTAGTGTAAATAAACTAACTAACTATAATTAAACTAAAAGAGGGGTGTTGTGATTGTTTGAAAACTAAAAGACTTGAATAACTAATAAGCTTGCAATTAAGCAAGATGGTGAGATGATCTAATATTGGAGAGAATTGGTTAACCAAGGTAATTCAACACAATGAACAATTGTGTGTTTATCATTAGGAATGAAGCTTATCATTCATCCCAAAATGGTTATAGAAATTATGAAGCATGATATGCCAAGATTCCTCATAGGTAGTATGGAGGTTGGGGAAGCCCACAACACACCTTCTTAATCAAAATCAAGGATTCAATTGAAGCAATTGAACCCAAGAAGTTGATTAGCCTTAAGAATTAAGGAATCCCCAATTCCTAGAGGATGTCAGTGCTTACATATCCATAAAGGAGTTATGATTCATAAGCTAGTGATGATTTCTACCATCATAAAGCCCTTGTTCTAAGTAAATTCAACGATTCAATGCTAAACCAAAGAAATAAAACAACAATTGCTCATTCAAGTACCAAGCTCATGATCAAAGTATTAAACAAGCATAAGAAATATGAACTAGAATCATAGACATAAGATAATTGATAATCAAGCATGAATCTTTCAAAACCCACAAATATCTAAGGTTTTTAGCCAAAGTTAACCAAAATAGAGAAACTAGCCACTCATGGCAACAAAATAACAATCACAAAAGTGTTTTTGCATCAAGAATCTACCAATTACTTAGAAAGATGAGAAGAATGTGTATCAAGCTCCCAAAATCACCTCTAATGTTCTCCAATGGTGGAAAATCGAAGTATTTCCTGAAAGATCCAACCCCAAGGTAAATGGTGAACAAAATGACCAAAATGCCCAAAAGTGTGCTGTTGCGCGGGTACCCGCGCAAGTGTTGCGCGACTGAGACTCCACCCTCGCAAGTGTTGCTGGAATGCTATTGGTCCATTTTTCTCCATTACACCACTCCACTACCCAACATTCCCTTGGTCCCCTCCATGCCTCACATGATTCAAATTTGGCCAATCATCTTCAAGCTTTAAATATGGATAGTCCAAGCCCAAAATAAGAATCTATGACCCATCTTCACAAGCCCACTTCATCAAAGACTTCAACTTTTTTAAGCCCAAATCTCGTTTGATGGATCTGTAAAGCCCAATAATGCATCGAAGAGCCCACCAATCCCAACTCCAGTCAAACTGCAACGCAACGAGCTCCAAAACCCTGCAAAATAGAAAGTACCTGAATCGATCGATGATAAAGAAAGTAAATAATATACAATGCAATACCAATAAAAAGACCTAAAAAATCTAAAATAAACTAATAAAAAGAAGGAAATAAAATAAACTATCATATATATATATATATATATATATATATATATATATATAACAAACTAAATATACCATGTCAACATCTTTCAAAACTTTCAAGTCTCTATTACCAGAAACACTTATCGAGAAGTTGTCCTTGAAAACTTTATATTTTCCTGCTTTCTTCAAATGATTGTAATCAAATGACAAAGTCTGTAATATAAAAAAAACAGTAATGACTATAAATTATTAATAAATGAAATTACTAAATACCTTATAGGTTAAAATTGAAGGTCACACATGAAAACACACAATATGAAATCATAAAATTATAATAGAATATAAAGGAAAACCATAGCTGAATATTTTCATGTTATTGATATATATATATATATATATATATATATATATATATATATATATATATATATATATTTATATTTATATATATAATATAAAAAATCATTATTGATTATCAAAACATGAAAAGAAAAAATAAAATGAAAACTTACAGTATCAACATTCATGAATAATCTGTGTGGAGATTTAACATCTCTGAATTTTTCTCCATGATTTAGTATATGAGGCCACGAATCAAGAACACTTATATGCACATACGTTTTTTTATAGAGATTTTCATAATTCACTCAGAAACCAACAACATATGAGTCCATAAGCACCATAATATCCCTGTAGATATTTGTTTAAATGTTATTAAAAATAAAAACTTATCTTTATAAAAATAAAATTTTTATCTATAAAAAACTTACCCTGTATTTCCTTGAAGACTGAAAAGCCATTCACAAACAACATTTTCTTCTACTGTCAAAATGGGGTTAAAATCAATTAATCTTTCCTTAAAGGGTGACTTATAAACATAAGTAACCTTCATTTCTATTTTAACATCTACTTCTGATGGTCCTTCTTCATTTATATATCTTGGTTGCTCAGACTTTGCTTTTGATGGACCTTCTTCATTTATCACTTTCTGTTGGTCAGAATTTGCTTTTGATGGTCCTTCTAATGTAGCCAAAGGGGGTGCAAAAGAAACTGAATTAGCATTAATAACATCAACATGTGGAATAGCAAACTGTGGCCTTGGACTTGCTTTTTCCAAATAAAGTCTATCCTTAAGCTTTTTCTTTGTCATCGGTTCAAGAGAACTTTGACTTTGAGATGGATTCGTAGAACGTTGAGAATCTTGACTAAATCCAAGGCTAAGGCTTGGACCAAAAAACTTCTCAACTTTTCGATCTGCTTTGTCCCTTTTAATGATTTTCTCTCATTTGAATCCTTCCATTCTATCATTTTTTTGATCTTTATTTCTGTCATCACCGTCTTTAGTATTTTCCTCTCCAACTAGCTTCTTCTCTTCTTTGTTACTTTCTTTTCCATCTATAACACTTGAATCCTCTACTATTTTTTTTCATTCTTGTTTTGATCTACCACTCTCTTCAAATAGCATTGATGTACATCTAGATCATACCAATACTCTAAAGAATCATGACTAAGAATTGGAATACCAAAAATAGTTTCTACACTTACAATTTAAAATCATAAATGAATGTAAAACAAAAACTATTAAAACATAAAAAAATATTGTTACAATCATATATGAATAAATAATATTTATAAACTAGTTACCTCCATCTTTATTTTTATTTGAATCATCTTCTACCTTTTTTCCAAAATCCGTATCAACTTGAAAGCTTCACATTCTACCACACCTACTCCATCATTATTTGCTTTAGAATTTTCAACTTCACCTTCGGCACAAACTTTAACCAATGTTGGAGCAATTAATTCATCTTCTTTCTTCTTTTCTCCAATAACTTTATCAACTGTATCATCTAAAATTCCTTCTTTGTTTTTATCATCCTCAACCAAATTTATAGTTCCTAAATTATTAAAATCATAAGTGAATCATCTATTGTTTTATGTATAAACAATACATACATAAATACTTAGCAGTCAAAATGTCATTTATATCATCTCCAACTACTTTCTGATTTATACCACACTCAACCAAATTCTCATTACCTATAATATTCAAAAAAACAAAATTAAAATCATATATGAATAAACTATATATATAACAAAAACACATGTTTACCTTGATCCAAATGATTAAGAAAATTTTCAACAATTGGGTCACGCATGAATTGTCTAAAACTTAGACCTTCGTAAATATCATTAACATCACCATCAACTTGACCAACACGCTTAACAACATTTTCAACAATCGAATTCAAATTCATGACCTCTTCTTCATTGAATCCACTAGTATTTCCTTGTTCATCATCTTCATTACCAAAATTTCCCTTACCAACAACATCGTAATTTTTATCATCATCCTTCTCATTCAACAAATCATTAATTTTACTAATATGTTCCTCATGAGCATGTTCATTAACATCACCTTCAGGACCATCAACTTTACCTTGAGAATCATTTTTGTCATTTTGGCCCTCAAGTGCAGTATCATTGACATCTTCAACACCACCACCTTTCCCTTGATCATCATCGTCAATATTTTCATCATCATTTAGAAAATCAATCCCATAATTTTCACCGTCATCTTCATGATCATTCACTTATGCCTTCTTCCTCTTCATTAACTTTGGTGCCTTCCTCTTCATTATTATATTGGCTAAAAGCATGTGTCAACATTGGTTGTTCACAATCTAGTGAATCATGACCGAAATTGAATTTTTATGCACTTAAATCTTCATTTGACAACAATAATTTCCAATGTTTCAAATTTTTTTACTTTCAGGAAACTTTAACACTCCATCATTTAATTTTACAACAAGCTCATTTCTCAAATCCTCACTTATCTGATACATATCTGAAATTTAAGTTTCATACTCCAACATAAGAAAACGATACTTAAAATTGAGTACTTAATTATAAAAAATCATAAATGAATACACTAATGAAATCATAAATTAATAAAACTATAATATTACCTCCACAACACTAACTTGATTAACATCAAATTCTTCTTCATCGTCATCAGATAAATCTTCATCACCATCAGATTCCTCCTTATCGTCATTAGATTCTTGACATTCTTCTTCAGCATATGGTTCATTAATCTCTCCACAACCAAATCATCCATCCTCTTTTAAAATATCCTCAAGAAACCTGATCTTTTCTGACGTCCAATAAAAAATTGTTGGACGTTTATGTGTAACTTGCAAATGAATAAACTTGAAAGTATCCACATATAACAACTACAAAAAACATATATATATATATATATATATATATATATATATATATATATATCATATAAGTTAACTTTATAAAAAGATATACTTATAAAGTCTAATATAGCATTAATCATAAATAGATGTATAATAATATATAATTAGTTATATATTACAATGCATAATCATATATGATTATTCATATGTAAATACAATGTAATATATTATTAATCATATATTAGACTTTATAATCATATATGATTATATAGTCTAATATATGATTAAAAAAACATATATATTACAACTAAAAAATGATTTAATATTAAAAACTAGTTCACATACCATAAGGTATGTTGCTGGTCCATAAAAGAAGGATGATTCTTTATCTGGGTTGTAAACCTTCTTCGTTCTTATCAAACAATCCACAATAAAGTTGCACCAGTAAATGCTACTTAAATCAGTATCTCTTCTGATTACATACAATGGGTTCATATTACATTTTCCCATTCTTGTAGACTCACCGAATGTATTAATAAATAGAACCAAAAAATTGATTATAAAGTTATAATCTGCTGCACCAGTCCGAACAAGTTCGTTCTTTAGGTGCTTCAGTCTCAATTTATCAATATTTCCATACTATTTCTTCCACTCAAACGCACAACTCTCTTCATCATGTTTGGAAATGTAATCCAACTTTGAAAGTAATGTACCACCGGATAGTAATCCTAACATCTCATGAACATATTTTCTATTAACAATCACTTGACAATTCACAAACTCCACCTTCAAACTTTCAAAATTAAAATGATCAAGAACATAATAAACAATTTTCAACGGTACATCAATCAACTTCATCCGTAACAAATGCCCAAATGCATAGCCCTAAAACACTCCTTATGTTCTCTACTTAAACCGTGAATAACAACCAACAATGAGTTGGGTGAGCATCTGTTCTTCATTGAAGGAAATTCTTTTATCAAATCAACTTTTTTCTCTTTCTTCACGACTTCAGATTCTCTATTTGGTTTATTTGAAGATACAAGACAACTCTTAAAATCAGAATCATCTCCGTTCACATTTCTTACTTACGGTTTTGACCTTCTCCAAAACTAATTTCTTTCCTTAACTATCAATTTCTCTTTTGGTTGTTCAATATTTGATTTTTTAGATTTCTTTGATCGGGTTTCAACTACTTCCTCAACCTTTTTTTTTTGAAGATGATATTGTCTGCCTTGAGCTTTTTATTGATACATTCTTTGTAATATTATATTTTTTTAACTACAAATATTTTTACACACATAGTGTTAGTAAAGAAGAAAACAAAATACATATAGTCAGTTACAAATGAAGAGACATAATCACTTATGATTTCTAAAACATACCCTTATCATTTTTAATCTTGGACTTTTTCCCTAAAACTTTTGGACTTTCCTTTTCATAAACAGAAGCATTTACTAGAAAAAAAATTAACATAACTAGTTATTAATACATAACAAAAATGCATATGATTAATAATGTAACATTTTCAATTTTTAGGTATGCTCTTTTTTACCCCTTATTTGTAAATTCTTTTCATTTTTTTGTCCCTATCTGAGCATGTTGGGCGTACTCTATGATTATGCAGGGCATACTGGCTCGATGGTTGGATGCGGAGGCACCCATGTACGCGGGTTGTACGTGGGAGTACACTGGTCGTACACTAAGCGAAGGCAAACCCTAATTTTTAGGGTTTGTGCCTTATTTAATCAATTTATGTTGCTTTGGGAGCATCTTATGGTCAGTCTCTACTTCTCCAAACCCTAAGACTGAAACCCTAGCCTCATTTGAGTGTTTGTAAGCCATTATTTAGTGGTTTTTAGGTCCCTTGAAGGAAGTGAAGGTTGGTGGTGAAGCTTTGGTGTACTTGGAGCTTGAAGATCCATGATCTTCATCAACTTTGCAAGCTCTTTGATGTATAAAGTTCCTAACTTGATGCTTCCTTATAATAGATCTAGTTTAGAGCCTTATTTGTGCATTTTTGGGTCCTTTAAGACTTATTTGGGAGTATAGGCTACTCCAACAACTTGGGATGATAGATCTATGCTTTTCTGAGGCCCCTTGTACATAAAAATGATAGCTTGATGGTTTTAGCTCAACCATGAAAGGTTAATGTTCTTCTTAATGGAGTTTATTGGGGTGTTTTTAGCCATGCAAAGGCTTAAACTCTTTGACATTATGGTTTAAGGGCTTAATATGATGTTGATTTGAGGATTGGATGTTAAGTTCTTAAGTGGTTAAGACTTTTAAGAAAGGACTTGGAGTCAGGCCAGTACGTTGGGCGTACTCCTGATTACGTTGGGCGTACTCTTGAGTATGTTGGACGTACTGGGTGCGGGCCCCGTTTCTGGATCAGTCACATACGTAGGGCGTACGAGCCAGGTATGTCGAGTGTACGCTACCCAGTGGGTCGATGAAGTGGTGGACTTGGGTTAGTTGGGATTTGTATTGATTGGGCTTGGACCTTAAACTTCTATGTCATTAGATCATTTCTAGACTTTGAGCTATTGTTTGGCATTGGGCCTTCTTGGATTGGGCCCATAATAGGCTTTGGGTGCCATTTAGGATTTTAGGCTATACTGGGCTTTTGGAGCTTTTGCGTTGGGCTTTGGTTATTGGGCCATGTGAGGAAAGGGTAAATTGGTCTTTTACCCTAGGATTTGGACAAGTGAATGAGATTCATAGTTTTGGTTTATGTCCCAACTTATTAATTGGGTTTATTTAATTGGTTGGCGCGGGGATTTTCTAGATCAGAAGTCTGAGCTTTTATTTGAGCTATTCAGCAGCTTGACGTGAATTTCCTCACTGTGTTTGGCGGGTCGAAGGCATCAATGCCGGCCTATTGTTTATTATGATTAGGATGCTAGTTGACTGTGTAACTCTTGCATGTATGTTATGGGATATGTATACCAAGCGAGGCTCGATGCCAAGCGGGGCCTAATGAGTGTATTGTATGCTATTTATCTTAGTGATTCTTGCATGTGTTTTATATGTCTGTATGAATGTTGGGCGGGGTCCGATGCCAGGAGGGGCCTGATAAATGTGATGAGGCGAGTCCCATCTCATGTCATTGACATATATGTTCCAAGCGGGGCCCGACGGTTGTTGGGCATGGCCCATTTTATGTTTGATATGTATGATATAAGGTCATTTTGGGGAACTCGCTAAGCTTCGTGCTTACAGTTTTCATTTTATGTTTCAGGTACTTCCGGATCGAAGGGGAAGAGCTCGGGATAATCACATCCCACACACCATATTGTTCCACATTTTATTTGACTCTGATGTAACTGGATGATTATTGATATACTCTAATTTCATTATGGTTTTTATGAAACGTTTTGGATGATGGTTTTATTATTATAAAAATGAAATTTTTTGTCTTAAATTTTGGGACGTTACACCTTGGTATCAGAGCCTTGGTTTGGGGGATTCAGGCATAATCACGGGTGTGTCTGAACTCAAACCGAAGATCTGGTAGATTTTTCATAAAAAGAGTGTTTTATAAAAAGAATTTTCCAATGAAAGAAAAGGGTATGGTGCATGAAATTAACCGAGCTCAAGTACGTTTTCCAAAAATACCCATACATGTTTTATGATTATGCTTTGAATTGTGAGTATGTGAATCACATGCTAGATTAGGGCTAAGGATCTAGGATAAATTCCTTTGTATGCCTGTTGTATGAGCTTGTAGACTTGCATTCTAGTACTGATCCGTCAGTGATAGGATGGGTTGATTAGGTTATGCTTGTTTCTGATTACTCAATGCTTGAATGTCGCTTGCTTTGTGCTTTGAGGAGTTCCCATTAACTTCAGCTAACTAGTAAGAGAATATACCAGGAATGGTTTGAATGGTCTATTTTCAGTATGGTGGTCACATGAGGAGGATCTAGTAGTGGTTGTGGTTCGGGCTCTGGGGCCGGACAGTTGGATGAGCAGATACAGGAGTTCATTTCGTCTGATATCACCCGCAGCATACTTGATCAGACTCTTGTGATCTTTGGCACGATCAAGGAGGGTATTATGGAGGTTTTGTAGGAGCGCTTGGGCACCTTTCGTTCTAAGATGGTGGCACTGATGGGAGCTCACACGTTGACTTTCTGTGAGTTCCAAGCATGTGGGGCTCCAGAGTTCTTCGGGGAGAAGGACCCGATCGCGAGTAGACATTGGTTACCGGATGTCGCTAATGCCTTCCGAGCAGTTGTCCCGATGGAGCAAAGGTCAGACTTGCTTTTTGTATTCTGAAAGATAGAGCTCGAGATTGGTGATAGGAGGTTAGACGTGCCTTAGGGGACGAGGCGGTTGATTCGATGAAATGGGATGACTTTGTGACGAGATTTCAAGTTGATTTTGCACCGGTGATTGAGGTGCAACAGTTGGCGAGGGAGTTTCAGGACCTTCACCAAACTACTGAGACGGTGGCTGAGATCACCGCTATGTTCCGTGATAGGGCGTTGCTGGTTCCTCAGTATGTGGCGGATGAGGAGATGAAGAAGGCGAGATACCATGAGATGTTGTCGAGTGATATCCAGCAGTGTGTGAGCCAATCAAGTTGCAGGACACTGGAGGATATGATTGTCAGAGCCAGAGCCAGAGAGAGAGAAAGAGAGAGAGAGAGAGAGAGAGAGAGAGAGAGAGAGAGAGAGAGATTAACTAGGAGATGGGGAGGAAGAGGAAGCCAAATCAGTTCCAGGTTTAAGGGAGTTCAGGAAAGAGGCACAAGGTTTTTGATTCGAGATCGAGAGGACAGCAGGATCGGGGCCTCTGTGGCAAGTGTGGAAAGACGCACGATGGGGCGTGCATGGTGGGTGGTTTTGGATGCTTCAAGTGCGGAAATACATGTCACTTCAGCAGGGATTGCACTGCTACCACCACTACCACCCAAATATCTGATCTGATTTTCTTCCATAGCAATCAGTGGGGCCATAAGAAGGCTAATTGCCCGAGTTTGGCAGCACCCGAACCAGTGGTAGCATCCGCGCCAACGACTCTACGGATTACTAATGGCTGACAGGGCAAGGCGGATGTGCTTGTTGTGAGGAGCAGGGATTTTCAGTTGACAACCGAGGAGGCCCGTGCAGCACCTGATGTGGTGACGAGTATGTGTCTTCTCCTTATCTCTTTATTTATATTGATTTTTCTACTTATATTTGTGTTTTTTGTTTTAGGATCGTTCCTTGTGAACGATATCTCTGCCTTGGTATTGTTTGATTCGGGGGCTACCCGATCTTTTATATCTCTTGTGCTCAGCAAGAGGTTTTTCGTTGCTCCGGGGGAGCTGGATTTTCCATTAGAGGTCGAGATTGCTGACGATCATCCTATGCGAGTGTCTAGGGTTCATCAGGGCTGTGTACTGAAGTTGTTTGGCGAGCGGTATCCGATTGATTTGGTTCCTATTCCCTTGCGTGAGAGCAAGGTTATTGTGTGGATGGACTGGTTGATCCCTAATGGGGCAATGATTGACTACGAGTAGC